TCTTAATTAATATTGTATTAACGAATAAAAAGTAATAAGAATATCTTGGACACATTAAAACATATGCCGTTTAATTTAAATGTTTAATAAATATTAACACATATATTAACATATATAATATAATAATAATATAAGATAACAAATAAAAATATTTAACTGTAGTAATAATAGTAATTATAACACATTAATAGCAAGATGATTAATATATTTTGCATGGCACTTTTGATTCTAGAGGTCAAAACAAAATATCGGTTAAGCCTTATTTATTAAATTATTAAGTTATAAGCAGTTTAAGTTCGTATTACATAAAATAAGACAGATAGAGAATGAGACAAGAGAGCTTCCTCTGTTACACAGTTGCTTTATTCTATCTCCGTCTCACCTTATCTAAACTAAAATTATTTATAACTTAATAAATAAGCCTTGACTGATATTTTTTTATGCCAATTTTGTTTTGTTGACATCGACTTTCACGAATATATTAATTTGAAGTAGCCAAAAATAGATTTGAAATAAAGAATTGAAAAGAATTGTTATTCTATTTTAAATAAAAATGTTTTAATATAATTATATTAAAAAATTATCTAATATATATATATAAATTATCAAATCTATCTTTATAACAAATTGAATAAAAAACGAATAAATTATTGATTATAATAGAGAAATAATTTGAGGAATAAATTTCGATCCGATTTTCTTAAATTAATATTTATTGAATATACAAGAAATCGTGAAATTGCAATAAAAATTCATTTGGTATCATACAGATTGAGAATTCATTCTGCATGACTTCGTAAGCTAAATGATTTGAATGAGAACTATCGAATAGCATTTTGAATTAATTAATAACAATTGTTAAATTGAAAGTAAAATAAAATTAAAATTGAAAACTTTTCCAATAGTAAAGTAAAAAATTTTAATAATATATTCTTATCATATTAGAATTGCAAATAGATAAATAGAAATAATCTTACAACAATAGTTCGTGTACTACTTTACAAAATATTTATGAATTTTAAGTACATAGAAATTTTAGTCAAGTATTTTTTTTTAATATTTTTTAAATTCACAAAACAATATAAATATAACAATATAATAAATATAAATATAAAATTACTTATATTTTATTAAATTAAATTTAGAATGTTTTTACAGTACAAAATTAAAAAAAAAGAAAATTTTAAATTTCGTTTAAATTTTATCCTCATATCCTCATTTCTCATATATTCTATATTGTAAATAAGTGAGTTGTTAGTAGAGTTTGAACAAACTATATAGTACTTCTTTCTTTCAACTGTTCATTCGTATAATTACCACTTTATTGCAATAAAATCGGTCAAAGCATGATTAGGAAAGTTAATTACAAATATTAATGTGAAGCTTATTTTGTTAATCTATTTTTTCGAATATTATTCAATTGTAAAAATTATTTAAAATAATTTTTTTATAGAATTATCCACAAATTTATATTTTACATTCATCATTTCTTACTATATTACATTGTACTATACTATACTATGTGTATATACTATGCTAATATTTACTATATTATACTACATTAGTATATATTAATACGTATACTAATCAGATTCGTTATTTCTAATATTATATTTGTTCAATTGTTATAATTGTTTTTCTGTTTCTTTCAAGGCTCAAAAGTTCTTTCTTTTTTTTCGAAGCATATAATCACATCAAAGAAACACCCGTTTCATTTTAATCTAATATCGTGTCCTTGACGGCTAAAAAGTCTATCCACGATATTGCCGTGTCTACTGTATGTAACCACTTGTTAGAAGCCATACAAAGAACAAATCTTTTAGAAGCTATAATACTTGACAAATATCGAAGAAAGGAATCAAATTTCTTCTTCATTTTTTTCCTCCAATTATAATATTTTTGTTCTTAATTCTTCAATATTTACTTTTACAAAGATATAATTCCTTCATATTATTAAATTATATAATTATTAGTTTCTATTCTAATTATCATTATTAATTATATTAAGTGGCAAAAAGAAATTTTCGCCAATGTTAACGTCTAATCTAAAAATAATTTATTTGCAAATTCATTTAATTATTAATATTCAATTAGAATTATAGATTTATGTTGCCTATTTAAATATGTATATATATTAATGATTATAATTAAAGTCATGTAATCATAATATATGTATAATTATATTTTTATTTCAATAAAAATCATTTAAAGCAACTGCACGATTTTAATAATTAGGAAAATAAAAAATTTTTAGTTGTATAATATAAAAATATTAAGTTTCGCGAATCATTTTTCCCCCTATTCATTTTCGATAAGGTTTCATACGAATAATATTAGCAAATTTAATGTATAATATTCTTAAATGATCAATAGATTCGTTATATTTCGTGTCTTCTTATTTATTATTTTTTTTCTTCGCAATTATATCGATAATTATTACGATAAATTCATCTATAAATTATTAAATATTTTTTTCAAACAGGTAATGAATTTAAATCCAATCGCATTTTAAACGAATTCGTACTTCAAAATCCAATTTTAATTTTATTTTTATTTATTAATTACAATCATTGATTTTAAAGTTATTTCAAATTATTCATATATTTTTATATGAATGGAAAAAATAAAAGATAATATTTCGTTATATAATTGATTTTCTTTCTTTTTTTCGTTAATCATATGCAAATATATAAATTCCATCTTCATTTAATAACTAACAATTACTATTAAAAACACCGTAAAAATATAGAATCATAGGAAAATTATTTAAACGACTTGAAAAGAAAATTAATTTAAACTTAATTAGCATTTAAAATGTATGAATGTTTGTATATTATATACAAATTATCAAATGCTTGAAATCCTTATTGCGAAGAATTATCGATCTTGTGAAATTAAAAAACAACGAAAGATTAAAACGATAATTATATCTGTTACGTTTTTCACTGCGGATTGGAAATATGATGCGTTTATAATAAAAAAAAATTGATCGTATCTTTGCATTTCAATAACTCAAAATTCAAATGATTAAATGAAACTAGAAATTATTCGTTAATTTATTTAGAATAAATATCTATTAATAATTAATAATAAAAATAGTAACAATTAATAATAATAATAACAATAAGATTGCAAAGACAAATTGTAAAAGTTATTTCTAAATACCATATAATATAATATAAGATTTTATATATTTAATTCCGATTCATCTAACTAATTAACTAGAGAATTTTGTGTCAAAACATATTTCGATTACAAGGAATAAAAAAAAAAATGACATAAAGAACATGACCCTGAATTTTATCACGTTATATGTATATACATAATTTCTTTAAAACTGTTTATATTTAATAAATTGATGCGTTTAATTACTTATAATACTGCTTACAAATATTAATGCTTACAATTAATAATCGATTGAAAACAAGATTAAAGAGTAATAAGTTGGAATCTTTTAATCATTTAGTCGAAAATTAAATTTCTAATGATTTATATCAGTTGCATTAATATCTATAATCAAAATTTAAATAATTCTAAAATAAAAATTTAAAAGATTTTAATTGTGACAATTTCTTAATGTCATGACAGTTTTTCGTTTAGAAATTCGTCATTCTTTGATAAATCACAGATTAAACACATGTGAAAGTATGAAGCAAGAGAATGATATATTATAATTTTCATTATTTGTAAACTCATCACTGTATTATTTTTCAATCAATATAAAAACATATTTATATATATCGAGATTATTTTATTAAAATTTATATATCTTCATTTTTTTCCTTTAATTTTATAGAAACAATTAATTTTAAAGAAATAACTAGTCTTGCCTATAAAAACAAAAACAAGATTGTGTAAAGAATTAATCGATTATACGTTAAATCTATTTACAAAATCTGAAGCGCATACATTTGTGTTCTTGTACCGTTATTTCACTTATATTGGTACAACGATTACATTTCTAGTCGAATAATATCTTAATGCTTGAAAATTAAAATTGAAAAATAAATAAATAAATACGTGTTCAATATATTTTCTATTCGTTAATAAAAAAAAAGATACGCAATACGAAAATATTGAGTAAAACGAAATGAAAATAAAATTGAATTTTTAATTGGAAATAGAATAGTAGAATGAACAGGTGAAATGTAAACTTTGTCAAGAAACCATCATTCTTTACTTTTCCGTATTATTATATTATGTCTAACTAGACAAATCGATTAAAACAAGCATTATCGTAACGATATCGATAAAGCTTAAAACAAACAGCAATTTGATTATCGAATCTAAGCGGATAACATTTTTCTACGAATTAATTTGTTACATTTCGCGTAATAGATAAAATAGAATCATTGTAAATGTTTTCATTTAGAATAAATTTAATCTTTACCCTAATAAATCATAAATAACCGATAATAAATTTTTTTACCTCTCAGAAATAAAAATTAGTAGTCATTTGACAGGTGAACGTACAGTGATCGGTAAAAAAACGATCGTGGTGTAACAAAAGGATCGAGATTTAAAAACAAAACAAATGAGAAGGAAAGTTACTTACACTTCTAGTATACGATCGCCTTTTCGTACGCCGGCTTTTTCGGCAGCACCTCGAGGTAATACGGCGCTGACATGCTGAAGCGGCGCGTACAGTTCTCCGTTGATGCTTCGTAGTTGTCCACCCTCGCTGACCTGACCGCGTACATTGAACCCAAAACCAGTTTCGGTTTTGTAAATAGTGACGCGTCTTGGTCCTTGTCCGATAGGATTTGTTTGGTTTAC